TCCTGTCCGCCCATTCCGGGAGACAGAGTTGGATGGCCTGGGTGGTCTATCTGCCCGCCGTGGAGCCAATTAAGGAGGCCTGCCACGCCTTCATGGCTCTTTGACGGGCATCCCTCCTGAGCCTGGCCACGGCTCATGGTAATAGGCGGTCGCTCCCGTGCCGGTCCGGGTCTCTCGTACGCCGATATACTTCGGCACACGAGGTCGCCAGAAACTCGACCGGGAGGAGGCCCGCTAGAGCCGTGGCCGCCGCGAACGACGTCGTGCAGTAGGCCCTTATTAGCCTAATGGCCAGCCGGCGTTGCGGGCGATGTAGCATCGCCTTTATTCGCCGGCTGGCCACGGCCCTGTCGGCCCACGCCGGCGCTCCGTAAAGAAGCACCGACTGCACGACGTTCGCATAGAGTCTGCGGACTCTATTGTTCGGACCACCCAAGTTCGGTAGGAGGCGACCCAAACCCGCCGCCATCCTATCCGCTTTGGGGGTTATCCCAGCGAAGTGCTGCTCAAACCCCCAAAGTCTATCCAGGGTGAAGCCCAGATATTTCATCTGGGTCCCTACCCGAACACGGACTTTCCCTACCCACATCTGAGTAGGGGGAGGTCGCCCTATGGCCCTGTTGTGAAAAAACAGGGCCTCTGTCTTCTGTGGGGCGACCTCGAGTCCATGGCTCTTATGGAGTATACGACCGCCCGGGTAACGGCATTCGCCGCATCCCGGGCCTTCCTTCAGTCCCTCCCCCGGGCCACCACCAGCGTGTCGTTTGCGTAACACAGCAGACGATAGCCCGGGGGAAGCGCCGTGCGGAGCACTCAGTCATACGCGAGGTTCCAGAGCAGGGGCCGTGTACCGACCCCTGAGGAACCCCGCAACAGACTCCCCTTCGGCTTACCTGCTCCAGCTGGTCTTTTAGCTAGAGCGTCCTGTCGCAGAAATAGTCCCAAAGGACCTCCCTTATGGGGAGAAGTCATGGAACTTCATGGCCTCACATGTTCCCAGGGGAGAGAGTTGAAGGCGTTGACGATATCCAACGACACCGCCAACGCCACGTCTCCCTCCCCTACAATCTGGTCCGAAAGGGCCCGCAGATGCGTAATCGCATCCGTCGTCGATCGGCCCTCCCGGAATCCAAATTGGTCCTCTAATAAATTGGGAACATCCTGTGACAGGTGCTGAACGATTCGGCCGGCAATGATTTTCTCAAACAATTTGCCGACCTCGTCCAGCAGGCATATCGGCCTGTAAGCCGAGGGTTGCTCCGCCGGTTTTCCCTTCTTGCGAAGGAGCACCAGGTTCGCTCTCTTCCACAAGGAGGGGAAGGCGCCCGTCCTGAGACATGTATTGTACATTCGTCTCAGGCGGGCACCCACCACGCCGAAGGCCAAGGCCCACGCTCGACCGGGGACCCCGTCCGGGCCAGAGGCTTTGCCAGTAGCTCCCAGCCTTTTGGGCGCCTCGGAGAGCTCCCTCTCAGAGATTTCCAGGTCCCCGGACCAGGGGGGAGATCCCCCCTAGGGGGGATGTAAATATCTCTAATTAGGAATAAACTCCCCACCACCTGGTCGAGAAACCCGGGTCCAGCATCTCCGAGATTGGGAGCGCCGCCGGTCTCAGCCTGTTGAGTACCAAGCGATACGGTCGCCCCCGAAGGGGTCCCCGGTCGAGTTCCGCCAACACTCTCCA